GAACTCCCGTGTATGCCGCCGCGAATGGGTCGCGGTGTCATCTCGCGCGAGACCCCTTTCTGTTCGTCGCCCGGCTGTCCCCCCAGGGATAATCAGAGGCCAGCAACATATGTACACGTACGCGGTTAGCTTCCCATGGAGGGCATTTGAACGAGGACGTTCGTGCACTCAAGATCGCGGAGGGCGTACATGTACATATGTCGTTGCTCGCTCAGATAAGGGGTCGAGAGGCCTGGGCCGGAGGGGGCCCCACGTCGCGAGCAGCATCGCGGCGCTGGATCCCCCGGGGGGTCTGCGGGGGGGCGGCAGCCTCGCGCTGTGGAAGCACATCGCGGCGGGAGGTTTTTCCTATAATTTGTCGGCCTTCTGGAGGGGGCCCTTACCGGCCCTGGGGACCGTCGAAGAACGAATCGGGAGGAAAGACCCGTCCCGGGGAATGGGTCCAGAGCTGCGGGGGTCGCGTCGTGGGAAAAACGTGACGTCGGGGGTCTGGGGAGGGGGGAATCGGGAGGGGAGGCGAGGGGGGAAGAAGGCAGAGGTGGGGGAAGAGGGGGAAGTGGAGGGGCGGGGAGGAGGGAGGGAGGGAGGGGAGGGGACGAAGACAAGCTAGGTGCGCTCGCGTCATATCTGATGTCCTAATCCTCCCTCCCATCCTTTACCATGGCGTAGATCTCCTCTCTATTCGCACAGTCGGATGTCGTAGCAGAGCATAGCATTACATGGCATAACATGGTGTTGAAGATTAACGCGTATCCTGACATGGCATGGCGTGGCGACGCCCCAAAGTGGGGGGGGGCTTCTGCGATACAAAAAACCAACGAATCGACACCGAATGCGTAATCACGTCCGATGTTTTTTTTCGGGGGGCATTTTCTAAATTTTGGGGCCGATTTGGAAGGACCGAAAACCATGCCGTGGCATGGCGCTGGAAATAATGACGCCAGCGCTGCAGCAGGAGCACGATTCGGAACGAGCGGAATCGCGGAAATAAGGCCAGCGTTGCAGCGGGAGCACAATTCGGAGGACGCGTAGCCTGACATAGTATGGCGTGGCGACGCCCCAAAGTGGGGGGCTTCTGCGACCCATAAAACCAACGAATCGACACCGAATGCGTAATCACTTCCGATGTGTTTTGTTCGGGGGGGCATTTTTTAGATTCTGATGCCGATTTGGAAGGACCGAAAACCATGCCGTGGCATGGCACTGAAAATAATATCGCCAGCGCTGCAGCGGGAGCACGATTCGGAACGAGCGGAAGCGCGGAAATGGGGCCAGTGCTGCAGCGGAGGTACGATTCGGAATGAGCGGAAGCGCGGAAATGAGCCAGCGTTGCAGCGGGAGCACGATTCGGAACGAGCGGAAGCTCGAAAATGAGGCCAGCGCCTCAGCGAGAGCAGCATTTTGAAACAACTCCAGCGAAACCCCAACTCGCCGACACCCTGTGTGGAAAAAACAATACGCGAGGGGGGACCGAACACTCCGAGACAGATTTCGCCACAGACACAGGGGAGAGAGGAGAGTAGTACTAATATTGAGTAATTGCGGGGTGGGGAGGGGAAGGAGGGAAAGGGGAAAGGGTAGGGACCTCTGGGGGTCGCGTCATGAAAAGTCATGACGTCGGGGGTCTCGGCGCCCCAGGGGGGGGAGGGGGGGGGCGGCGCGGGGGGGGGCGCGGCCTTCTGCAAGAACGGCCGGGGGGGGGAGGGGGGGGCTTTTAAAGCAGGCAGGGGGGCCCCCCGGCGGCTGCTGGGAGCGCTGCTCGGATGAGCGGGGAGGGCCTGCAAGATCGGGCGACGAAGTCCGTGCGCACGTCCACCGCCCCCTGGCCGGGCCCTTCCTGGGCCCCTCCTGGCCAGGCCCAGGAGAGCGTGGCGTGCACCCGGCGCGCTGGGCTCAGGATGGGCCGCCCAGCAGCCCCAGACCCCCGACGTCACGAGTTGTTTTGACGACGCGACCCCCCAGAGGTGTCCAGACCCATTCCTCGGGACCGGCGTTTCATCCTGAATCGTTTTTGACGGTGCCGGGGCCCGGTGAGGGCCCCCAGAGGCCGAACATCGAGAAAGACCGCCCGTCGGGTTTCGTCATGGCTCGAGGGGGTATGGGGCGGACGTGTGTAGATCTCGTCGCCCCGAAGAGGGCCCCTGCCTCCTCTGAAACTCTCTGGGCCTCTCAGGGGGGGTCGCCCTCCTCGTGCCACCCCCGTATACGCGCCGCTGGAGGCGGCAGGAGGAGTGAGGAGGGTCCCGCCGTCCTCGTCGTTCCTCCTCGTCGTCCTCGTCCTCGCCGTTCGCTCGTCCTCGTCCTCGTCCTCGCAGTTCTCGTCCCCGTCGTCCTCGTCCACGTCGTCGTCCTCGTGGTTCGTTCGTCCTCTGCCTCGCGCCTCGTCGTCCTCCCTGCGAGGAGGGCGACGGAGGAGGAGGAGGAGAGGAGGCAGCGGGGGCAGGGCGAGGAGCGAGGGAGGAGGACGAGCTGGTGCGGGCGCAGGACGCGAAGAGGCAGCATCGTCCAGCCGATCCCCATCCCCACCGGGCCATGGCATCTCCGCCCCACCGGCCCACCGCTTGGGTGGCGATACGGTCGAAGCTGCTGCACCAGAGCGGTCGCTCTGATGGTGTCAGCCACGCCAGAGGTACGAGTCGAGGCAGAGAGCAATGCAGTATCATCAATTCTCGGAGCTTCGTGCGGATTTCTAGGGTCTGCGCTGGAACCCTCCTTGCGGCGCCTCCGGCGCTGCCCCTGGCGCGCCCCGTTCGCGCCAGGGCAGGGGGCTCGGCGCAGACCCAAAGATTCCGCGCGCACCTCCGAAAGGTTCGTGCTTGCGGTCGGGACCTTTTGGGTAGCGTGCCGCTCCGCCCGTTCTGGCCCACCGCGCCTCGGTGCGACACGCTGTCCATTTCCCGGCCCCCGGGCGTCCGGGCCCCCAGGCGTCCGTGGCCCGAGCTGTGCCGAGCGTCTCGCACCGCGGAGCGGAGCGACGCGCCATCCGCGTGCCGGGCGTGGCGTGCCGCCAGGGCCGCCGCCGCGACACGCTGTGCAAAAGTTCCCGACCGCAGGCCCCGCGCAACCCGAGGGGAACACCAGAGATAACCCCGCCTCAGGGGGGTGGCACCAGCCAGCGGGGCCAAGGCCATGCCACTGGGGATGAGGACCGACTGCAAGAGGCTCCAAGAGGCAGGAGGAGGGAGGACGGGCCCGTGGATCCGACGTTGCGAGCAAACATGCGGCATCGCGGAGCATCACGACCGGATCCATTCCGAGCCGGATCGATCTGTGATGGCCCCGGGGCCCGAAATCGGGCGAAAGCGCCAGGGGTGACAGACCTGCCACGCCTGGATGGCAGGGCAGGAGGAAGGACGAGCTTCTTGCCAGAAACAGTTGGCAACGCAAGCAACAGCAAGTTGGGATTGAGAGCCTAAAAGAAAACCACGGGCAGACAACTGCGTGGGAGGCCTGACCACCGACGTCCAGCATCACCGTCAACAGCGCGCGACGTCTAAAATCAGGGGAGGAAAAACCACCTGGACCAGACACTTGGCGTTCACTAAACGTCTTTGGGCGTTTATCAAACAGCCTTGCCCTATTCGATTCTTGATTTGGGCGCGTTTACTAAACGACTTCGCGTGTCGGGGTGGTTATCATGAGGGTGGATTGAATGACTTCTATAAAAAGAGTCTGCTGCCCAAGCTGCATCAGGCGTGAGCGAAGGGTCTCGCTTTGTACAAACCTCACTGTGCCAAGAGAGCACACGCGGCCTCGCGGCCCACTAGCGCCGCGCTCAGATCACGACGAGGCCGCTGCCCAGACCCAAGCCGCCCGCCTGCCCAGCAGGCCGGGGATTCCTGGAACACCCTCGACGACCAGGCGGGCCACTTGGCCCGAGCAGGCTCGGGGCCCAGGACCACCCCCGCGGGCCCCGGTGCCAGGTGGCTCGCATCCACGAGCCCCACGCCCAGGTTCGGCCACCCCGCGTCCCCCGTTCAGCCGCGCACCAAAGGTCACTCTTACCCAGGGTTACTCTTACGTGTAGCCGAACAGCCCCCCCCCGCACCAGTGTGGTTTACGCAGACCCCAGTAGGGCGCCGCGCGGACGCTGCACCAGCCCGCCGACCCCTGCCCTTGGGGCAGGAGCTCAGTGGGCCCTGGAAACGGCAGGGCAGCTTCGTCACCGTTGCCGAAGAGTGCTTCTTGGAAGCGAAGACGGCACAAACACGGCGACCAGAAACGGCAGCAAAAACGTCTCCAGGATTGGAATTGGAGCCGGAACCGGAAATACAATTGGCGACGGAGCCGGTGAAACAACGGCGTCGGAACCAGCAACACATTCGGCAAAACGGAACCAGTAACAAAAAACGGTCTTGTCCTTTCCAAGGCCCACGATGGAAAGGAGGGCAGGACGCGATGAACGCTGCAACAGCCCGCCGAACCCTGCCCTTCGAGTAGGGGATCGACTACAAAATTGGTTTACCCCAGACTTGAAATGCACGCCGAATGTATGAAACGAAAATGCATCACATGCTCGCAGAGCTACGAGCGCTTTCTACGCATGCTTGGCAGATTCTCGGCGGACAGACAAATCAATCTTGGGGGCACTTCGACTCTGTAGTCGATGCCCTCTTCGAGCCCACGAGGGGCAGGAGGGAGAAGGACGCGGACCCAGACCCCATACGCCATGATTTTTGCATGACGCGACCCCCGGAGGTCCGGACCCACTCCCCAGGGACCGGTTTCTCCTCCTGGGTCGTTCTGTTGACGGTCCCGAGGCCAGGCGAGGGCCCCCAGAGGCCAAAAATTTGCGAAAAATCTCCCGTCGTGATTTTTGTTCACGACGCGAGGGGGTCTGGGATGATTAAGTCCTGTTTGTCCCTCTACAGGTGGAAAATTCTAAAATAATCGAAGGAAGTTGTCTTGGGACGATTTTTCATATTTTTTCCTATTACTTTTGTATTGTTTAAACGTGTTTGTGTTTCCTCTAAAATCCCCCTGCAGTGGGACATGCCCGACCGACGCCGAGCCGCAGGGGGGGGAGGCGGCGGCGCCCGCGGTACCAGCCGCGGAGCCTCGGGGCCACCTCGGGGGCCGCTCCCCCGCGGGGCTTGCGCGCCGGCTCGAGGGGTCTCCCCTGTTGCGCGGCGGCCGCCGATCCCCACGCTCCCGAGGAGGTGGCGAGGCCCGCCCGCTGCGGGGCCCGCCGGCACACGCAGGGCGCAAGCAGTGGCGAAGCGTCCTGGCTCTCTACGAGGCCCACCAAGCGCAGACCCCCTCGAGTCGTAGGAAGACCTCACGGCGGAGGATGTTTCGCTGTTTTCGGCCCCTGGGGGCCCTTACCGGGCCTCGGGACCGTCAAAAACCGGTTCAGGATGAGAAACCGGTCCCGGGGAATGGGTCCAGATTTGTGGGGGTCGTGTCATGACCAAATTCATGACGTCGGGGGTTGGGGGAGAATGTTCTAAGAATTTGTTGTGGTCTGTACGAAATGTTTTCAGAACGTTTCTGGCCAAGACCGTCTTGTCTTAACACATCGAGTTTATTTGTTCGAAGAACCTTGCCTCTGTTCCTAGAACATTTTGGAATTCAGAGAACATGTCGTGGTAGGCCTATAGGAATGCCGGGACGGTCGGTCCCTGCTCAAAGGGCGCGGGCCCTTCGTTTGTTGGACGTGTTCGGTCGCAAAGCATGGGGGCCTGGTGCAGTCGGAACCGATGGCAAGGATGCATCCTTGCGCATATCGCAAGGATGCATCCTTGCGGAACCGATGGCAAGGATGCGGCGCCGTGCGGATATGTTATCGGTGGCCGATCCCAGTTCTATCGGCGATGTATCGCCGATTCCAGGTCGATTTCCCCTCTGAGCCGGTCCCACCCCCACGTTGCCCTTCTGCAAGGAGCAATCCGTTCCTTTTCGGACGTGCTCAGGATGTGAGGGAGCTCTCGGTGGGGTTCGGGGCCCAGAGCCATCTCCATCTGATGGAAATGACACTGGGCTCCGATACCCTCCGAGACCCTTCGCAACTCTCGGAAATAATCCTGGACCCCGAAGCATTTGCAACCGTCCGAAATGACCCTCGGCCCCGAAACCCTCTGCAACCCTCCGAAACGACCCTGGGCCCCGCTCCCGAGGCGCAGCTGATACAGCTGCACCTCGTCCCCGAGAGGCGCGCGTTTCTGAATGCACGACTTGGGTGGTCACCGTCAACCCGCATAGCAAAGATGAGCAACCTTCTCTAGCGTTAAGTCGGGCCTGTCCCTCTACAGGAGGAAAATTCAAACATGGCAAAACAATAGGCTGGAGACATTTTTTTATTTTTGTTGACAATGTGGGAGTATTTCTTGAATATCTTGTATGTTTCGTCCAAAATCCCCCTGTGGGGGGGGGACACGCCCGCCCAAACCCCAGGGGTACCCTTACATCCGTGGTTGGTGCTGTCTCCCTGCGGAGTCGCAACCTCCTTTTCGGTTGCAACTCCTGGGAGGTCAAATTCTAATTCTGCCCTGGTCCGAAGTCCAGCTCAATCCCGCCTAATCCCGCCTAATCCCGCTTAATCCCACTGAATCCCGCTCAATCCCGCTCAATCCTAGGCCCAATTTGGCGCAACAGCCTCCCAATGGGGCTTCATCCTCCTTAGTCCTTCCGACGAAAGCCTCCCAGCGGTTGCCTCCCAACGACCCTGCCCAGGCATCAAGGGTAGCGTCCGGGGGCGGGCGGCCCCGCGGGGCCCGCACCGACGGGGAGATTCCCTTCCATGGCCCACCCCTGCCCCGGGAGCGCGCGGCCTCGCTTGCCGAGCCGTCGGCGATGTGTAGCGACGAAGCCGGGCCGATGCCCCACGACGCAGGCACATCCGGGACCCTCGCCCTGCGTAACAACAACAAAAAAAATCTGGGACCCTCGCCCTGCGTGGTCCTCCGGCCCCGCGAAGGGAGAGAGAGAGAGAGGGAGAGGGAGAGCCATGGCCATGAACGCCTCGCGCACGAGCGTGCCCCTGTCCTCGCCGACGCCGCCGCCGGGCGCGCCCCCGGGGAGCCTGAGCACGAGGACCTGCCGTTCCTCTTCCTCCTCGCCCTTCTCGACGTCGTCCTCATCATCCTCCTCGTCCCACTCGCCCTCATTCACGTCGTCCTCCTCGCCCTCATTCACGTCGTCCTCCTCGCCCTCCTCGACGTCGAGGTATCTCGGTGTCCTCGCGCGGAGGGTGAAATGAAGCTTGTGCAGGTGCTGACGTTTGTAAGCCAGTATCCTCGTCTTCCCCCCTCCCCCTGCTGCTGCTGCTGCTTCCTCCTCCTCCCTCTCCAACTGGGCGTGTGCCCCCCTGGGGGCACGCCCTGACAAGGACCATGGATGATGGAACGTTGTGCGTGTGCTACGTGGGAAGATAATCTTCCTCGTCCCACAATTCTGACGTCAGGTTAACTTCGACCAACTAGGATCGTAGCATCAGGGGGGTCAAGAAAATGCGACATGGCGTGAAGAGGCCAGCTTGGGCGTCGTGGCCAACGAGTGGAAGCGCAAGCGAGCGCGGTGAAGAAAATGGGGAGAGAAGACTTGTCTTCGTCGTCCTCCTCCTTCTCCTCCTCCTTTTCCCGTCGGCCGCCCTTTGAGGCAGGGCTGGACGTAAACGGTGTTTTGGCGATTTCGTGGGCCGTTTCCGTTTCGACTTCGTTTTGCGGTAGAGGTGGATTGAAAACCAAACGCAGGATAACGAAAACAAAACGAAAACGAAAAACACCGTTTAGGTTCAGCCCTGCTTCGAGGTAGAAATCAACAGTATGCACATACGTGATCGGAGGCCCGTGCAGATTTCAAGGATCGGAAATGAGCCCCGTACCATGGCCGCTTGGAGTGCGCCAGGGGTGGCGGCGGTGGCGCCGCCGGGGGGATCCAAAACATGCGCGTGGACCTCCGGAAGTTGATGTGCATGCTGCTTCTGTTGCTACTTGTCTGTTGGAGCAAAAGCCTCACCAGGCCTAGGACGAGTGAAGCATCGCTCCCCGCGCGGTCCCGATCGCCCTCCAGGTGTCCTCGAACGCTTTTGAACGGCCGCGGAGACCGATCTGCCCTCCAGGTCCTCTGGCTTTCAGAGGTTCCCGACTTGTCCTCGTTTGAGGTTCTTATCATGCTGCCTTCGCCTTACTTCCCTCCCACTGGACCTCATCTTCGTCGTCCCCCCCGTTCGTTGCGTCATTCCTCGTCGACATCGTTCTTACTCCTCGACCTCCTCCTCCTCCTCTTCCTCCTCCTCTTCCTCCTCCTCATTCGCTCCCCGCGTCATTCGTTGGGTCGCCGTCCTTTTCGTCTCAGCACGACGACACCGGGCCCTGGATCCTGGAGTTGTTTCGTCGTGTTTGGACCCCCCTTGCCCCAGGACGCTCAGAAGACATTCAGGGCGAAAGTGTGGTCTCGACCCCCCCCTGTGTTCAGGACCCGCTTCCTACTGGAACTTTTGTTATTGCAGTCGTCGTCATTTTCCTTGTCCTCCTCTTTCCCCTGTTTCCATGCTTGTCGTCGTCCTTTCCCTCCTGTTCCTCATCCGTTCCTGGGTCCTTCGGTCCAACCCTCCTCCTCGTCCTTACCTCCTCCGGCCCCGCCTCGTCCTTTGTCTTCTGACCCCCTGCGCCCCCCAATCAATCGCGCACCATCTCTCCTTTGTCCTTTGCCTCTGTCCTCCCTGGCCTCCTCGTGGGCACTGTGCTTATACTTGCGCCACGTAGCTGCAACGGGAATGCCTCGTGGATACATCGTCACCCTGTATGCCACGACGGCGAGGACCCCTGGGTCATCAACTCCCGCCGAACGATACTCTTCCTCGCCCTGTTGCAAATCGTCCTCGTCCTCATCCCCGCCCCTGCGTCACATCGCCAGGCAGGATCGTGCGGATGAGTAGTTTCCCAAGGGCACCCTCTCATCGTTGCGTCTTTGGCCAATGCTTAGCCATCGCTTGCCCATCTAGATCCAGAGGCCTTCGCTGTGTGCGCCCACGGCCCTTGCATCCCTGTCGCGCATCCCTACCTGGAAGCGGGGTAGTCATGACGCGGCCGGCATGGGCCAGAGTTGGATGCGTATGAGGCCAAATGTCTTGCGACCGCTCGTCACCGAGCTCGTTCCACTACTCGCAAAGTGCCTACTCGCAAACGTCCTCAAAACACACGTCTGTTTCGACGTAATGTCTCGCATATCCCCGCGGCGGATCCAGGCCATTTGCGAGTAGTCACTTTGCGAGTAGTGAAGCGCGCTCGTCTAGCTCGGACCTTCTGCGGCCGTATTAACGGGTGACCTCCACAGCGCGTGTGTGCATTCAGCGCGCGGCCTCAGGACGCTCCGCACGTGGATCCAATCGTGCGCGCTCCTTGGGGGCAGTCGTTGGCAACCTCGTTGTCGACAAGACAGTGTTGGTACAGTGGGAGCCCATGCCAAGGAACCCCTTGGGTTTCTTGGGTTTCGACGGTTTTGCGATGGAAGGGACGACGCGCCCACACCAAACATCAATGGAGTTCCTGGAATCTCAGGATTGGGTTTTTTTGTGGAAGGTTTCTTGTGGTCGAGCTCCTATTGCATGGCAGAGTCACGCGGGGATACCCGAACGCGCCCGTGACATGGGGGTCGGCCTCCGTAAATATCACGCATCTACAGCGCTCAGCATACACATTTCGAGGGGACTTGAAGGCACCCGGCTTCATGATTCGGAAACCAGTGGCAGCCATATGGCCACCCCGTTTATTGGACCCACTGGGTTGCACCCTGTATGTTACAACGCCAAAGCTGTCCAGACTCGTTGATTGGGCCTACGCTCTGGTATCATGTGAGAACGTCGGTGGATGGGTTTGCAGTTCTTGCGTTGCACTCGCAACCCACCTCACTGTGCAAGGTTTGCTTGAGCAGTGCAGCGGGCTTGCCTCGAGACGAGGGAGGAACCCCTCCGCATGTCGCACCGCAGGCCGCCTTGAAGCACGTCTGCCCAGACCGCGGCCCTGAATCGAGCTGCAGGGGCTCGCTGGGCGAAGGCTGAGCCAATCGTGATACGATCGAAGTTCACTCAGGGTGCAACGCATCATCACGTCATTCATATTCCTCCTCGCCCCCTCTTCTTCATCATTGTCCCCCTCCTTCTCTGTCTTCGGGTTACGTTTCATTCCCCTTGTCATTCTCTATCGCTGATCCTTCTCCTCGTCCTTCTATTCTTCTGTGCCCTGCTGCCCCTCCACCTCCCTCCTGTTCCACCTCTTCGTCGACGCCCTCGTCCTGCTGCTTCTCATTCTTGCCCTCCATTCGCTCCTCTCCTCTACCGCGCACTCATCCGAGCCCCCTTTCCGACACCCTGCCCCTTTTCTTCGATCTCGTGCGGCGATAGACTGGGGTGGGGATAGACCCTATCCGCAGTCTATCGGCGACACCCTGTCCCCGATAGACTGGGGATAGTGCACCGTGCCGAGGATGCGGGCAGTGTCCAGCATCTTGGGCACCTCGTCCTCGTCATCATCGTCCACATCTTCCTTGTCCCCGCCCTTTTCCCTACTCCTTCTCCTCCTCCCGTCACCCCTCCTGCCTCTTTCGCCGACGACCTCGACGACGATGACGACGACCACCGACGACAACAGGCAACCCCAGACATCTGAGATCGTGTGTTTTTCACCACCCACCTGGCTGAGCCCTTCCCCACCGCCGGCTTCTCCTCCCGGGCCTGTTCTTTTGATGCCCCCCAGGCATGGCGAGGGCCTCTGGAGGCAGAAGCTACAAGGAGAAACCAGTCGTTGTGATTTAAGTACTGCGCGATGGGGTCTGGCTCCCTCGCCTCACCGAGCGCGTTCCGCTGCTCGCGAAGTGCCCGTTCGCAGACGTCCGAAGCAAAAGCAATCTTCCTATATGCAATGGATCGTACATCCCCTCTCGGCGGATCCAGGCCATTTGCGGGTCGTTACCTCGCCAGTAGTGGAGCGCGCCTGTCTATCGCCGACTACCTCGACGAAGTTGTGTTTGATCCTTTGGCTCGTAACGGTCGGTATCCCCCACACCACCCCACCAGCCCACCTCTGGGCAACGGTACTACGTCGGGGGGGGGCCTAACCGACACCAAGCAACCCATCCCCTTCTGTGACGCACCCCTCGCCTCACCCCAAGACGTATGAACGCGGCCGGAGAGAAGCTTGAGAGACGAGGGGGGTGTCACGGAGGGGGATGGTTTCCTAGGCCTTCTAGGTGGGGTCCGAGCAGCTGGGGTTGGAGGATCGCGCAGGTGGGGTTGGAGGATCGCGCCGTATCGTCGATGCATTTGCGATGCGGCTCGATGTGGAGCCCGACTTCCTCCTCCGTGGCGTCGCCGATGCATCGCCGAGGCATCGCCGAGGCATCCCCGATGTATCGCCGATATATCGCCGATGCGGTTCGATCCGTCTAGGAGGCATCTACTCAGATTTGCTAGGGGTCGGTGAGGCCGCGCCCAAGGGGACCGGGCCTGGATCCCCCCCCCTCACATGCTGGTGCTCGCGCTAATACTCTGGCGATGGCAGCACCCCCGCCCCGGTGCCCCAACCTCGGCCCCCCCCCCAGGCAACGACCATTCTTGAAACATTAAAAGCGTTTTCGACGACGACGAGGACGACCGCCGGCGACGACTGACCGCTAGCCACCCGCCGCAGGAGTCTGAGCAGCGGCAAACTCCCGCCAATCCACGCGGGTGGCCCCATGATGTTGGGCGCCTAGCGGGCGGTCGCAGGTGAAGGGGCTGGGGGAGGGCGGGGGAGGAGGGGGAGACGGGAGGAGGGAGGAGGCGAGAGGAGGAAGGAGGAGGGAGGGAGGACTGAGGAGGCGAGGGAAGGGAGGAAGACGGAGGGAGCAGGCGGGGGGGGGGAGGGGGAGGGACGAGGAGGCGGCGAGCGGAGGGAGCAGAAGGGAGGCCCGACTCCTCAAGATGCTTGGGACGGGGCGGCCGCGGGCCCAGAGGAGTGGGATCGGGAGGGAAGTGGGGGGGAGAGGCGGGCGGGGAGGAAGGAGGAGGCGACGGGAGGGAGGAGGCGAGCAACCTCCTTTCCCGTTTTGGCCACTGTGATCACGAGGCGGCGGGAGGCGAGGCGAGGTGAAGGGATCGCGGCGGGGAGCGGCAGGGCGGCTTCGGCCTCCCAGCGCCCTCGCCAGGCCCCGTGGCCGTCAACGAACAGCTCGGAGTGAAGGGCCCGTGCTGGGGAAGGGGTCCAGATCTCTGGGGGTCCATTGTTGTCAAATCATCGGGGCGTCAGAGATCTGGGAGAAGGGGAGAGGGAGGCATGAGGAAGCGAGCGGAGGGACCAGGAGGGGGGAGGCGACGGGAGGCGGTGCATGGGGGAGGAGGGGGGTGCAGGGAGCTTGAGGGGGGACCGCCAACCGGACTCGTCAGCATGCTTGGATGCCACGCCCTGGCCGTGACCTCTCCACGCGCGAGCGGCATGCGGCGCCCCGAGGGGCCCGCGTGGGCCAGTGCAGCCGGGGGGAGAGAGGGAGGGGCAGGAGCGGGAGGTCGGTCCGAAGCGGCACGCGCAGGCGGGGCGACGGGGCGAGGGGGGGCGGGATCATCATGAGCTGGGGGCGCGCACGCGGGCAGGATTTGGGGGGAGGGAGGGGGGGGGAACTCGAGGGAGCTGGCCCTCCGAGGGGCCCAGGGTTAAGTTGGGCATGTCCTTCTACAGAGGGAATATCCAGAAATAGTCACAAAAATTGATCAGGGGACGATTTGTTGTTTTCCTTGCATTTGGGCCATCTGTTTTGAGTACTTTTTACTTTTTGCCCAAAATCCCCCTGTATGGGGACACGCACGACTTAAGCCCAGGGGTGGGGGAACGAGCCATTGACACAAACATAAAGACCTCGGAGGTCCGCGCGGATCTCTCGGAGCGGCGCTGGGCCCCCCTGGCGGCGCCTCCGGGGCCGCGCCAGGGAGGGGGGTCCAGCGCGGCTCCGAGAGATCCGCGCGGACGTGTGAGTTTGTCTGTTTATGCCATTGTTCGTTCCCCTAAGGGGAGCGGCTCGGACGGCAAGGGAAGCAGGTTCGGCATCGCTCGGGCGCGTGATTTTTTCTCGGCGAGGGCCCTCGAGGAGCATCCTGGATCATCTCGCGGAACACAGGCGCAAGGAGCTGAAATATGCACGGGGGGGATGGACGTGCGACCGATGGAGAGCAGGGCGCTCGAGGCTTCTGACCTGGTGCCATCGGATCGCGGAGAGACATTGAATGTGCGGCGCTCTGCGCGGCTTTCTGCATCGACTTTGGGACTCCGTGGCGGTGCCTCTTGCGCCGCCCCCAGCGCGCTCCGCGCCGCAGGGGGGGGGGCCCATCGCAGATGAAAGAAGTCCACGCGGAGCGCCGAAAGTTTATGTGTATGCTTCTTTTTCTTCTTCCAGCAGGGGCACGCAGGGCTTTCCAAGAAGGTCCCCAGGCTCTCCGGGAGCCCCCCCACCCTCGCAAACCCTCGCAAAAGGACCCCCCACCCAATCGCGCGACCCCTTTTCTGACGCTGCGCGCCGCCAGAGGAGGGGGAGGCTGCTCTTCGCCAATCATCCCCGCGCCTTTGCCTCGGGCGAGCTGCTGCAGCGCCCTCACCCGCGGCGTCTGAGTCTGGCCGTCGGCCGACTCGGCAAGGCCTCTTCTCCCCAGAGGACTCCGCGGGGCCCCTCTCCGCGCCGCAGCCTCCACGCCGAGGTCGTCGGCCGAGGGCAAGTTCCACTGGGCGGCCGCCAAGCCGCGGAAGGCGTGCCAAGGCGCGCGCGCGCGGCGGCCACGGCGGCTGCGACGGCGGCGGCACGCGAGGGCGGCGGCGAGGACCGCGGCGGCGGGCGCGGCCACGGCGGCGGCGAGGGCCGCGACGGCCACGGCGGCGGCGGCGGAGGCGACGTCCGCGAAGGCGGCGGCGGCGGCGACCACGACGGCTGCGACGGCGGCCGCGGCGAGGACTGCGGCGGGGGGCTGTTGCGGCGGGGGCCGCGGCGGCCACGGCCGCGGCGGCGGCGGAATGGCCACGGCGTCGACTTGCCGTCGTCGTCGTCGTCGGCGAAGACGTCGACGTCGACGTCGACGTCGTTTTCGTCGTCAACGCCGTCAACGCCGCTGCTGCCGGGGAAGCAGGGGGAGGGAACAGGAAGAGGAGAGGAGGAGGCGGCGGCCTATAGCTGGGTCGGGACGCTGGGCGAGATTTCGGCGGGCCACCTCTTCGCCACAGAGGCCTGCACTCTCGTCGCGGCGCACCTCCCGTTTGAATCACCGCGGTGGTTGCTAAGGGGATCGGGGGTATACGAGTGAATGCCAAGGTGGTTTACATACATCTGGCCTAACCTTGCTCAGAAGCGGGTTAGAAAGCGCTCCAAGTGGCTTCGGGGGGTCAGGATCCAGGCTAGGTGGGCTCCTCCCACTTGGCGGAGATAGCGAACCCACCCAAGCCACCCAGGGCACCTGTAGTCAACCTACAGTCGGCCCGGATCAGTAGGTCGACTCTGCCAAGTCAAGGGTTGTGTCCTGTGCCTCGCGGCCCATGCTTTCTCGCATCCCTATGGCAATATGGCCCCCGGAAGGGTCTCGTGTCCTCTCGCGTGCTCTCTCCAGTGAAGTCCGACTGCATAAGCTAGGTCAGGTCAGATAGATGTAGGCCAGTAGGCCACCCTGGCAGCCACTCATGGCCAACCTGGCCCCTCAGCCGTCTCCCTGGTGATCCGAGTGGTCCGTGGCGGTGGGGGCGAGGAGGCCGAGGAGCGCGGCCGAGGAGCGGGGCGGTGAGCGAGAGGCCTCCCCCCCGACGCCTTGGCGCTTCTGCTCTGTGGCGTCGGCGCCTCCTGCCCCCCCCCCCTGCGGCCCTCCCCCACGGGCCGGCCCTGCGCACATCCCGGGTGCTTCGGCACGGCCCTGCGTCCAGTCGGGCCTGTCCCTCTAGGGGAGGAGTGTTGAAGAGTAGTCACCAGAGATAGTGTGGGGGCGATGTTTCTCTATTCGTTTTGACTATGTGTTCGATTTTGTTTTTTCCTCCGAACAAATCCCCCGGCAGGAGGACATGCCCGACCTGAGCCTTGCGGGTGTCCCTGCGGCCCAGAGAGGTGGGCCCCCCCTCTCGGAGGCCGAGGCCTCCCCGCTCCCCCAGCAGACCCCCTCGAGCCTTATGCTGTTCCAACTTCAGGAGGGAAAAACACACAGACAGAATTCACCGTCGAACCCCCAGAAAATATATATGAGAATATGGGGAGTGGGGGGGGGAAGACGAAAACCCAGAAGATCTGGGAAAATATGGGGAATCCTTTCATTTGTGTGTACTTATCCTCTTGCACAGGGTGTCTAGAGCTCCGACCACTTTATTCCGCGTCGCACCCCCCCCCATCCCCGCGTCCCGAGCGCCAGAGTGGGACCCCCGCGCCGTGGCTCTCTGCCCCGAGCCTCCCCGCGTCCCCAGCGCCCCAGCGGGGGACCCGCCCACTGCCCCCTCCGCCACGAACGCTTTATTCCGCGTCGCACACCCCCCTCCCCACGCGTCCCCAGCGCCAGAGTGGGACCCCCGCTCCTTGGCTCTCTGCCCCGAGCCCCCCCGCGTCGCCAGCGCCCCAGCGGGAGCCCCGCCCACTGCCCCCTCCGCCACGAACGTTTTATTCCGCGTCGCGACGCACACCACCTCCCCCACCTCCCTCCCCGCGTCCCCAGCGCCCCAGTGGGGGCTCCGCCCCGTGCCACTTCCGCCCCGACAATTTTATTCCGCCTCGCGACGCACACCACCTCCCCCCCCGTCCCCAGCGCCCCAGTTGGACCCCCGCCCCGTGGCCCTCTGCCCCAAGCCCCGCCCAATGCCCCCTCCGCCCCGACCATTTTATTCCGCGCCGCGACGCACACCACCTCCCCCCCCTCCTCTCCGCGCCCCGCGCGCCCCAGTGGGACCTCCGCCCCGTGCCCCCTCCGCTCCGAGCACTTTATATGTTCCGCGTCGCGACGCACGCCACCTCCCCCCCTCTCCCCACCTGGGATTTTGGCCCCGTTGCTGGGCCCCGAGGGGCGATGTGTTGCCCCCTCCTCCTCCTCCTCCTCCTCCTCCTCCTCCTCCTCCTCCACCTCCTCCCTCTCCCCCTTCCTTTTTGTGCAAGGGCCATGGCACACGTGCCACTTGTTTGTGTGTCCCAGGGCCCCTTCACAACTTGCTTGACCCTTGATCGCCAGACAGAAATTCGAGCACCAAGACAATGCCGAAACTTGAGGGCTTTCACGTGTCGGGCCCTGGGAGGCGATACTCGTTCGACACTGATTCGACATTTTTCTGGGTGCTCGAAATAATGTCTGGGATGTGGTCCTTAATTACGATGGGAGCAACAGAACTCGAGTCATGACAAAATCACGACGGGAGGTCGTCTGCGTCGGCTGGCCAGCGGTGGAGGTGGAAGTTGGCTGCTGCGGGCTCTCGACGGCGCCCGCGGCTAAGCATCGTCTCTTCGCCTTGCTGGATCTCGCCGACTGGGAGGCCGCGAGCGTGCAGTGGGTGATGCCCTCCGCACCGTGCCGTGCAGAAGGAGTGGCAGAAGATCGACGGGCCCGTGCAGGGCGGCGAGGCCGTGCACCTGCAGGGGCCTGGCACCCACGGCGCCCATCGCCTGGGGGCCCAGACAAAAAGGGCGAGCCTCGCGGGATTCTGCACGTGGCGGCCCCGGAGGGCGCTCTGGAGCTTGCCCGCCGGCTTCCGCCGGGAGCCCACGATGCGCGTGGGCGCCGAGCTTTCCCCTCCCTCCTCCCTCCTCCCTCCTCCCTCCTCCCTCCTCCCTCCTCCCTCCTCCTCTCCCTGACCTCGTGGTTCGGCCTCGAGGGGGGCCTTCTACCTGGCCATTGGGGACGCGAAACCACGGCCCGGGACGAGAAAGCCGGCCCCAGGGAGTGGCTTCAGACTCTCTTGGAGCTCGCGCCGTGACAGCAGCACGACGCCGGGGGCCCGGGTCTCCGCCCTCCTCGCCGCACAGCTGTGCGGCGCTCACCCTCCTGCGCTCCGCGTCGGGCGGCTCGCCCGGGAGGCCGCCGCCGCCGGCGCCGCCCGCGAGCGTACGGTGCACGTGCACGTCGGGAGCGCGCGCCCGGGGCGGCGCCGCGGCCCCCGCCGCGGCCCCCGCAGCGCCCCTCGCGCCGCCCGTGCTCGGCCGGCGCCGCCGCGGCCAGGGCTGCCGCCCCGGCCGCGCTCTGATCCGCGCCCCGGCGGTCGTCCGAGGGTCGGGGGCGGCAAGGAGGGGGGTGGTGACTGCCCTGACCTTCCAGGAGAGTTAAAAAATAGCACCAGAACTCCTGTCGAGGTTTTAGGCAGTCCAGATAGGTCTTGAGGTCTGGAGGGCTATTTTTTGGCACTCTGGAAGGTCAGGGTAGGGGGGGGGATATCATGGCGGGGGTCAGGCGATCTCCCCAGTTTTCGTGGCGCCTGCCCCCCCTGGGCCGCGCACATGCCGCCGGCCATGATTTGCGTCCCCCCCTCTTGGACGCCCCCCTCTTGGCCGCCCCCGAGATGGCTCCGTTTTCTCCATGCGCCGTCGCCGCAGGTCCTGGCCATCTCCCTGTTTCTGCCCGAGTCTTGAGTCGGGCCCTCTACAGGAGGGGTATTCGGGAATGGTTCTAGAAAAGTGATATGGGACGATCTTCCATGTTTTTGTTGACTATGTTTGAGTTTTTTTTGCTATTTTAATGCTTCCTCCAAAATCCGCCCGGAAGAGGACATGCCCGGCCTAGCCCGAGTCGTTTGTTCGACATCCCCGGGGGGCACGGGCCGGGGCCCACAGGAGGCCGCAGGTTCAGATGGCAGTCCGTCTTGTGCCTGCCACTGCGCCGGAGGCCTTGCTTTCTCCCGTGCGTGCACCTGGGCCTCCTCGAGGGGGTGCGAGTCGATGGGGTTGGCGGGTCGCGCCGCACCGCCCGCTGCATCGGCGACGCGGCTCGACGTGCAGCCCGATTTGCTCCACGCCGGCGCTGCCGGTGCGTCGCCCACGTCGGCGATGCATCGCCGGTGCGTCGCCGGTGCATCGCCGATGCATCGCCGATGCATCTCGGAGGCCTCCAGCTCAGGGGGCCGCGCACGCCCGCGCAGCCCCCGGGGAGGCGGGCCCTGCCGTGGCAGCGGGGCCCCCCCCGCCGCCCTCCGCCCCCCCCCTCGAGGCGTCCTGGCTGGCCCATACAGTCGGGGCGCTGAAGAAGGAAGCCTTTTCGTTGGGGAGGGGCTCGGTGTCCCTTTTGATTTTTTCAGAGTTTGCCTTGGGTTTTTTCCTGAGGTTTTCCGTGGGAAGGCGAGGTTGAACTTATGTGAAACAGGGGCCTCGTTCCTTGGTTAGGGTTCCTTAGGTCAACGCCTCGACTGTAGGCCCACCAAAGAATGTGCGAAGAGCCTCTTGTGGCTTGCACGACAGGCTCCTAGAACATGTCTGGCTGGGCCTAACTCATCGGCTTTATATGTTCTAAGAACATCGGCCTCGGCCTGTCTTGTTTTAGCACATCGGCCTTCTGTTCTAAGAAGGTGTTCAACACTTCTGGGCTCTAAGAACATGTCGTGGTAGGCCTCTAGGAATGCCAGGACGGTCGTTCCCTGTCCCTGCTCCCCCCCCCGGCGCGAGGCCACAACGCGCTGGCGAAGGCGTCGCTGTGGCTGGAGGCCGACCGGGGCGAGAGGAGCGTCCCCGCGCGCGTTGGCTCGCCCCTGGTGTCCCGGAGCCTTCCCGGGCCCCCTCGAGCCATGGCGCGAGGTTGTTCGCTATTCTCGGCCTCTGGGAGCCCTTGCCGTGCCTCGGGACCGTCAAAAACCGACCCGGGATGAGAAGGCTGCGTTGGGGAAGGGGTCCGGACCTGTGTGGCGGTCGCGTCACAGAAGACTCCTGACGTCGGGGATCTGGGTTGAAGCGGGGGTCACGTCCTCCTCGTCCTCCTCCTCCTCCTCCTCCTCCTCCTCCTCCTCCTCCGTTTTCAGCCCTGCCTCGGCCGCGCCTGCCTCGTGCTCCGCTCCTGTCTCGCTTGGGAGATGGTTGCGGTCGGCCGCCAAGCTGCCCCCCCCGCGGCAGCTGAGCGGCCCCCGCTGGAGTTGCGTCTGGCTCGCTCTGGCCTGCGCGCAGGGCCCGCAGGGCAGCCCGGCGCGGTGCGGGCCGTGGCGAGCTGGCCGCCGCCCTGGAGCGCGTGGCCGCCCTCGGGGCCGAGCTCGGCGCGTGCCGAGTGGGCCACGAGGTGGCGGCGGCCCAGGCGATGCGCCTCGCTGCCCCGCTCGGTCCCCGTGGCCAGCAGGACGCTTTGACCCGCGAGGTCGTCGAGCGCCTGGCGCTGGCCGTCCCCGTGCTCGTGGCGGTCTTCACTGGCACACAGCGCGGACGGGATGGTCCTACGCTCGCCCTGGCCGCGGCAGACGTCGGCATCGATCAGGTTGCCTCCCAGTGCGAACTGATCGGCGGCTCGCAAGGCGGCGCTCCTGATTCCGCGGGCACCGCCAACAGCAGCAGCCTGGCAGGGCGCGGCTTGGTGCAGCAGGACGTTCCCTTGAGCGTGTCCTTCGACGGCGGGCTGGGCGGCACCTCCTCAGACGCCGCGGCAGCTCCTGCATCGCCAGCTGCGGACGCGATCGCCCCCTCGCGGGCATGCAGGCGCGCGCCGCCGCCCACCGTCGCCAGGCGGAGTGCTGGCACGCATTGCACCTTGCGGAGGGGCGCACCCATTGCGAGGATCCGGATGGCCTCGCTGAGCCGCCTGTTGTGCGGCGTGCGGAGGCCGCCCTCGAGGCGCGCGCCGTGCGCAGCGGCCCCTGCGGGGCATCGTCGCGTTCCTGGTGCGCGTGCGGCGGCGGACGCGGTGCCCTCGTGCTGGGCCCTTGCGGCTCGCAGGCGAGGCCGCGGCCTGCCCGCCGGAGCTGCCTCCGACCTGGCGGACAAGGTGCGCCGCGCAGGCAGCCCGCGTATCCCTCCCCTCACTTCGGGCGCGCGGTGGTGGAATCCAGCTGCTGAGGACGCTGGCCGCGTCTCCCCAGCCGCAGACGCCACCTCGGGCCTCGCAGGCGACGTGGTGCAGGCGGACATCGCGGGGTGCGAGTCCGAGACCAGCCCGCACCTTCATCGCGATGCTTGTCGGCACGTTGGCGGGGCTCTTCGAGTTCTCCTGGCAGGGCCTCGCGATGCAGACGCCCATCCGGAGGCGCGCGAGGCGGATGAGCAGATCATCCTCGACGACGGCGCCGCCCCCATCGCCGCGTTGGCCCGCGGCGACGGCCTTTCCGGCCCGTTCGACGAGTGGAGGGTCACGGGTGGGCGCCGACGGCTCCTGGCCCTCCAGCGCCACTTCTCCCAGACGGCAGCCGCGGAGCAGTTGGAGGCCAAGCCGTTCGAGGTCCGGGCCTGGGAACGCGAGGCGGAGCACCAGGCGCTGACCCTGGAGCTCATGCGCGCACAGGGGCCGGGGTGGCCTCGTCGCCAAGCTCCGGCTGAAGGCCAGCCCGCGCGACCTGCTGGGTCCGCCTCGTTTTCTGGCGTGGCGCCCCTCGGCGCAGGTTTTGGGGCCACCACCTTGGATTGGGCTCGCACTCGGGTGCGAACCCGCATCCCCGTTATGGTTTTTGGCGGCCGCCGGCGGCTGCTGCGGTGCCCGTTGTTGTCCCCGCGGGGGTGGTCTCCGCCCGGCCTGCTCCTCTGTTGGAGGGGCAAGGGCTGGGTGGAAAGCCTGTGTGGGCTTCACTCCGGAGACCTCCTCGTTGCCTGGCGCTCTGGGCGCGGCGCGCGGCTGCAGCGCCCGCGCGGGGCTAGGCGAAGACATCTGGGGCCTTGGACGCCGTCTGCCTGCAGACGGTGGCCAGGGCTCCTTGCTGGTCCCTCTATCCTCCTCCTCCTCCTCCTCCTCCTCCTCCTCCTCCTCCTCCTCCTCCTCCTCCTCCTCCTCCTTCCCCCCCCCTCCTCCTCCCCCCCTCCGTTTCCCGAGGCTCGCGGGCGATTTGTTCCCCTCAGTTTAACAAGTTTCGCCAGAAAAGATTGACCGTTCAGAAACATCGGGGAATTCTGTGATACATCCGAAGGGGGCTATGCGGACGCATCCCTACCGAGGATGGACGCGCCGCCATTTACGTCCCAGGGTTCGGCCTCAATTTCTGTGCCCGTTCGAGAACCCCGCGAAGCCTGGGATAGGGGTCGGCCTATCCCGTGTTAAATACTAAGTACAAGCGGGGGTTAGCCAGAGCGCTGGATCTCGTAGGATCCTGCAAAGCCAGGGTTGTACCCAGCCGGGTCAGCGCGCAGAATCTCGCAGGATTTTGCAGGATCCAGCAGGATCCTGCAAGTCCCGATTGACCAGGATGTGCAATTGACCCTGGTCAGTAGATCCTCATTTTTCGCCGCTCAGAGGTGCATTGTCCAGGACTTTCGCATGGCGTGTCGCAGCACGTTATCCACGCTTCGGCGCTTCGGCGCGACATGCTATCCACTTCCCAGTCCCCAGGCGTCAACGTCTCGAGCTCTTCCCAGCCTCCGGACCCTCGCAGCGGTGCGACGCGCTGTCCGCTCGCATGGCGCGTCGCCCGGGCCGCCGCCGCGACGCGCCAAGCAAAAGTTCCCGACGTTGGTGGGCAGGGGGCCCCATGGTCGGGAATGCCCTCGTCGAGGGAGAGCCCTACACAGCCAAGCCCAGATCTCTAGTTTCCTCCCTAGTCTGGTGAGGGCTCCCCTCCTCAGACGTGGGGCGGCGCTCTGGCGGGCGGGGGCCTTCTGGGAAGGCAGGGAGCTCCTTGCCTTGACTTCGACGTTTCGTTGACAAACTAACAAGACGAATTTTTTTCGTAGTTGGTCGGCGCCTGGAGGAAATTCTGTGGGCCCTAGGGCAGTCAAAAGATGATATGGACGAAAATCGCGGGTCCCCTGGAGGGTGTCGAGATATCGGGTGAAAGAAGCCACGATATCGGATGTTTGGGTGGGAAGGCAAGGGCGGTGTGGCCGATGGTGATTAATTTGGTGTGCAGTAACAGCTTGAAACGTCAGATCACGAAAACTAGATTTCCAAACGCTACTTCGATTTCCCAAATGGTGGGCCGGCGGGCCGGCGGCCCTGCATGGACCGCTGGGTCGTTTGTAGGTGCGCGCGCGGACAGCAGTAACCACCGCCTCACTAACCACCCAGTCGCTCATTCCAAGGGGGGATCCCTAGGGGGGCCACCCCCGCCTGCCAAGGAGGCCTTTTCGCTGCAGCCTCCAGCGCACACCTGAGAAACACACCCCGCAACGTTAGGGGGAGCACTTGCTCACGGGGGGATGCATCGACCCCCAATCGCCCCATGCATCGTAGATAGGAGCCCGATTGCCCACTTCCGCACAGGAGCGTGCCGATTTGCTCTCGGGGGCCTATCGCCGATCCATTTCCCCCCCCCTCCCCGGAACTCGTCCCCCCGTATCGCTGCCCCAGGGCTCGAGCTACACGGTGTTTTGGCAATTTCGTGAACCGCTTTCGTTTTGTTTCTGTTTCGCAGAAAACGAAGACAGCACGAAGGAGAACGAAGCCAAAACGAAAGCGTACAACACAGTAGCTCGAGCCCTGCTTCCCCCCCCCCGGAGCCAGTCCCTCCGCAGCGCTGCCCCCCATGCCTTCTCAGGGGGTGGCCCCCTCGCCCCGCCTCCAGCTGGCGCGCCACCACCGGGCCCGTCTCGAAGCGGCCACCATCCCGCCGCTTCCCGCGATGCTGCTGCTCGCCCTCCTCCTGCAGTGCTGGGCGGTGAAGTGAGGACCACTTGAGCGGCGCCCCCCAAAAACGGGTCGTCTTCGCCGACGTTGGCGCGCAAGCTGCCCGCGCAAGGCCGCGCGCACGCGCCCCAGCTTCCAGCCCAGCGTGCCGCGCGGGCGGCCCGCGTGAGCCACCGCGTAAGGTCGCTGTGCCGTCTCGCGCGAGACCCGTTCTGGATCGTCGCTCGCCTGGGGCTCGGGGAGGAGGCTCTGGTCTGGTGGCCGCTCCACAGATGTCAGGTCGAGGAGCACCTTCGCCAAGGGGGGGCCAGCCGTGCCCCGAAGAGCACTCCTCTGTTGCTTCTGCGGCGCTGCCGACGTACAGCAGGAAGAGCTTTGCAGCGCGAGCGTCAAGTCGGGCCTCCCTCTACAGGAGGAATCTTCAAAACTAGTCAAGAAATAGTCAGGGGACAATTTTGGAGTTTTCCGTGTTGGTTAATTTTCGGGGTATTGTTCATGTGTCCTCCAAAATCCCCGTGTGGGGGGACAGGCCCGACTTAACGCGAGAGCCCGGTCTCCTGCAGAACGCTCTGTTGCCCCCGCGCCGTGGTGCAGCGCGGTGGGCAAGGTGCACCGGGCTCGTGTCCCCACCGCCCCCGGCCCCAGGGTTATGACTTGGCATCGCTCGGACGTGTGCATGTTCCCTTCGGCGAGGACCATCGAGGAGCATCCTTGATCCTTTTGCGAAAAAAGCACGCACGAAACCGCACAAACACACAGGGAATGGACGTCCGAGCGATGGCGAGATGAGGTTGCAACCGACGTAAGCCTTGACCACCAGAGAGGATGTCGAGCACCAGAAAAGTAGCGTATACCTCGAGGGTTTGCACGCGCCGGGCCCTGGGAGACACTCGCCCGACATTGTGTCGACACTCTCTCGGCACTTTTCCGGGTGCTCGAAATTACTTCTGGGAGGTGGTCCTTCGAGTACGATGGGAGCAACCTGCCCCAGGGGCACGCCGCACCCTCGGCTCCTCCTTAAGTTCCCCCTCCCCCTGCCAGCCACTGCAGCGGGATGCGGCAGCTCTTGGGCCCCCTGGAGTATCGCCTGCGGTGTTGCGGCCAGCGCGGGCGGTCTCCGTGACACCAAGGGAGGGACGGAGAAAAAGAGAGAAAGAGAGAGAGAGAGAAAGAAACATACATATACATATACATATATATAGAGATAGAGAGAGAGAGAGAGAGAGAGAGAGAGAGAGAGAGAGAGAGAGAGCGAGAGACAAAGAGAGAGAGAGAGAGAAAGAGAGAGAGAGAGACAGAGAAAGACAGAGAGAGCGACGGGGGGAAGCCGGTGGCGGCAGGCCTGCGGGCACGCGGGCGGCACTCTGCAGATAGAGAGAGAGAGAGAGAGAGCGCCGCCGCCGGGCACCGAAGAACGAGCGCCTCGCGAGGAAGCCGGCCTCGGAGATGGCGGTGCCCGGGTCCACGCGCTCGCCGACCAGCACCGGCCTCGGTGTGCCGAAACGACGCGAAGATCGAGACAAAATCGGATCGGGATAGCTCGAAGTCTCTGAGAATCGGCGGGTTTGGAGGATGTATTGGGCGCCGCGGCCGCTCCAGAGCGTTCCGGAACGCTCTGAGAGCGCTCCGGAACGCTCTGGGGCGATTTATCCCGATCCTAGCTCTGTTTTATGTGCCCAGGGCGTGTTCCAGGAGGGGACAAACACACAGGCACGTCGATCGTCGATCCCCAGGGAGAGATGTGGGAAACTATGGGACGTGGGGGGGAGACACAAAACCAGAAAATCTGGGAAAGCATGGGGAACATCTTTATTTGTGTGTATTTACCTGTGTGTCCTGGGGCCCCTTCAGTGTTGTTGCCATCTCGGGCGCGTTCTTGCTGGGCTCGTCGTGTGGTCCGTCGGGTGCTGCTGTGTTCGATGCTCTGCTCGCGGCGTCTTTGTGGCAGTGCCTTGTGTTGCCGTGATGCTTCGGTGCTCGCTTGCCGGTCCTGGCGCAGCATGCAGGGAGGGCGGAACTCGAGGGCCCACCATAGTTTTGCATCCCAGGTTCCGGACAGATGGGATACCATCTGTAAACGTGGGGTACGGAACGAACGACGTACCCGTCAGGGCTTGCTGCACGTCTTGAGGCGCGCAGGAACGACAGCGGAGTCGCAGCATCCTTGCATGCAAACCCGCACCGAACCCGTGTTTCCGACGTCGCTCTCGACCCCTTCCTGGGGATTGTTTCTTCGCCCCTTGCGGGGCGGGTCCGCCGTCTTCAGGTCACCACACACCGTGTGGTGAGTCAATGCGGATCCGTGGTGACCGCACGGTTTTTTAGGATGTGGGTCGTTCTCTGATGATCTCTCAGGCGACAGGGCCCTCCAGGGTCCGAAAACCGTGCGGTGACGGACCGTGCGGAGAGATCTCTTGGGATACCGCGGTCACCGCGCGGTCTGTCGCCGTACCGTTCGGGACCCCCCAGAAAAAATGCAAGGCCCTCCTATCAGGGTCGGCGCTGCCTCCACCTCACCTCCATTTGCGTCGGATCCTATGGCACCGCCATCCCTTGCTGCGGCAAGACTCGGAGGACGGCGACGGCGACGGCGACGGCGACGGCGACGGCGACGGCGAAGGCGACGGCGACGGCGACGGCGACGGCGACGGCGACGGCAACGGCGACGACGACGACGACGACGACGACGACGACGACGACGACGACGACGACGACGACGACGACGACGACGACAACGGCGACGGCGGCGGCGACGACGACGGCGACGACGACGACACGAGCGCAGAGAGGGGAACGAACGACGAGGCGCCAGGGGGAGAGGACACCTGGGCAGCCTACGCCCCTCCTCTGCGCCACGCTTGCGTGCAGCCTTCCTCCTCCCCCTCCCTCCCCTTCCCCTGCGGCTGCGGGGTCCGAGGCCCTCCACCGTGCGGTGCTGAGGCCCGCACCTCGCTCTTCTCGCCCCCGCCTCCCCTCCCCCCCCCTCCCTCTCGCGCCGGGACGAAGGGGGGGGGGGGGCCAGGGAAGGGAGGGGATAGGGCATAGGGATAAAGGGGGGGGTAGGGCAAAGGGGGAGCAGTGGGGCAAGAAGGAGTGCCCCTGGAGCGGCCGCGGCCCACGGAGCCGCGGGCCCCAGCCCTCCTTCTCCTTCTCCCTCCCCTCCCTCTCTCCTCCTCCTCCTTCTCCTCTCCTCCTCCGTCTCCTCCTCCTCCTCCACCTCCTCCTCCTCCTCCTCTCGCCTCCTCCTCCTCCTCCTCCCTCCTCCTCCTCCGCCTCCTCCTCCTCCTCCTCCTCCTCCTCCTCCTCCTCCTCCTCCTCCTCCTCCTCCACTCCTCCTCCTCCTCCTCCTCCTCCTCCTCCTCCTCCTCCTCCTCCTCCTCCTCCTCCTCCTCCTCCTCCTCCTCCTCCTCCTCCTCCTCCTCCTCCTCCTCCTCCTCCTCCTCCTCCTCCTCCTCCTCTTCCTCCTCCTCCTCCTCCTTCCGGTCCGATATGTTGCTCCAGTCCTTCCTGGTGTTGCCAGAAGTGCCCCCCGGCCCCCCAGGGTGCCCCCCAGGAGCTCCAAGGGGGCACCCACGGCCTCCAGAGCAGGGCTGGGCCTAAACGCTGTTTTGCTGGACTTCGGCCGTGGTTTGTTTTTATCCTTTTGGCAGGGAGGTGCAGGAAAACAGGTCGAGCAAGACAGAAAACAAAGCGAAAACAAAGCGACAAACAACGTGTAGGTCCAGCCCTGCTCCAGAGCACCCCACCCCGAGGCTCAGGGGGCCCGGAGAGCCCCAAATTGGAGCGGGAGGCTGGGGGCACCCCTGGGCCAGGGGCACCTCTGGCAGGCCCCGTCTTGCTCCACCTCCTGCGCACGCAGCCTGCTCCTCCCCCCCCTCCGCCCTGCGACCGCGGGCCGAGGCAATGCGGGCCCTGCGGGCCCGAGCCCGACGGACCACCGCCGCCTCGCCCGTGCGCGCGCCGCCCCGCCTGCGCGCGGGAGCGGCGCGCCCTCGGCCGCGTGGTGGTGGTTGTGGTCGTCGTCGTCGTTGCCGCCGCCGCCGCCGTCGCCGTCGCTGTGGTCGTCGTGGTCATCGTCGTCGTCGTCGTCGTCGTCGTCGTCGTCGTCGTCGTCGTCGTCGTCGTCGTCGTCGTCGTCGCTTTCCGCTTGCCCCGAATGCGGCCGGCAGCAGGCAGAGGGCAAAGCTGTGCCGTGTGGGCGGGTCGGCGACCCTGGCGCGGGCGTTCAAGGGTGGGCGGCGGCAGTGCTCCAGAATCGACCAGCATCGAACGATTTGCGCCCTCGGGCAAGCCGCGATCCCTCGAGGTGGAGCGATCCACGCGGTGTCAGAAACCAGCGCCACGGCACACAATACCGTGTTCCGTGTCCTCTGTTTCGCAGCCCCGTCCCACTTCGCTCTCCCGTGTTCGCTCCTGCCGCTCTGGGCTCAGGCCGCCCTCGCCTTGCCGGGCCCCAGAGTCGGGGCCGCGCTGCCCGTTTCCGCGCGAAGGCGATCCGCTGCCCGCTTCCGCGGCGCGGATGCGCGGAGCAGCCTGAGCTGGATGGCGGCTGCCGGAGGCGGCGCGGTCGGCGGCTTTGCCGCGCTGCCCGCGGGGGCTGCGGACGCGCCTCCCGCTCTTCCCGAGGCCAAGGCAGAGGCGAAGGCCAGCGGAGGCGCGGGGCGAGGCGAGGCGGCAACCGTGCCGCCCGCCGCCGCGGCGCTTGCGCCGCCCGCTGCCGCCGCCCTCGGAGGACCCGTGGGCGCGCTGGGAGAAGCCGCTGTGCCCGTCGCAGTGGGCGGCGCAGGAGTGCCCGCGCCGCTGGCTGCCGCCGCACCGCCTGCGCCGCTGGCGCCCGCGGTGGCCGCTGGACCAGCGGCGGGAGGTGCCGGAGGTTGCCGCTGGACCCGCGGCTGGGGCGCCAGCCCCCCCAGAAGGTGGCACGCTGGCCGTGGCGGGCGCGGGCGGAGCCGCCACGGGGTTCCCGCCTCAGCTTGGCGGCGTTCCGCATGGCCCGAAGCCTGGCGGCCTCGTCCGAGGCGCCTTGGGCACCGGATGCTGCGGAAGCACAGGAAATTGTGCGCTTGCCCCTGGTGGTCCCCCTTGGCGCGCGGTGGCCCGCCCCGTTGGCGTTGCGGCTGGCGTGCCTAGCGGTGGAGGTCTGCTGGGGTGGGCCCCCGCCGTGGCAGCGGTGCCGCAGTGGGCAGGCTGCGCGGGACATGCCCTCGGGCCCCCCCCAGCAGGTCGGGCCCGTGAGTCCACAGGCCGTCGGTGCCGATGGCCTACCAACGGCTCGGCTTGGCGCTTCGGGGTACATTGAGGGGGTCATGCTCGACACGACGTTCGGCCCCGCGATCGACGCGGCGGTGTTCCACATCCAGAGAGTCTGACCTGACGATGGCTTCAGGTGCTTCGTGGAGTGCACCGATGCTGGTTGGCAGCTTCGCCAGCCTGGGAGTCGTCGCTGTGCTACACATACGCACTCAGCCTGCGGGCCTGTGCGCGGGCCAGGTGCAATGGCCCAAGAGGCCGGTGCTCCACATCGAGACCGACAGTATGCGGTCGGCTGTTAGCTTCACCGAGCCGCGGGCGCAGAGCTGCCTCGGGCGAGGCGCCCCCGCCCTTTCGGGCCCATCGTCACCCGCAGGGGCGCTGGTGCCAGTGGGGCCCCAGGGGCCGCTGCTGGTGGCGCTGTTCCCGGCGGCAGCTCTGGCCCGTCGCGCAGCAACTTCAAGAGGAAGATGAAGGAGCTGAAGGAGCGTCTGCATTGGCGATGCTGAGTTGGTCAGGCCCTGGCGGAGCGCGCGGAGAAAGTCTTGTCAGGCAGTCACGCGTCGATACAGGCCGTCGGATAGCTCACCTCGCCCGCGAAGTTCTGGGAGCGCTGCTCTCGAGCGGGATGGAGGCAATCTAGCGTTATCTGGCACGGCGTGGAGGGGCGGCCCAAGGAGGGAGCCTGGGCGAGTCGGCGGCCTCGGTTGCGCAGTACATCGCGAGCGCATGGCGCTGACGCCGTCCTCAGAGCGAAATGGGGGTTCGCAGCGTGCGCGAGATGCGGACCGTCGGGGAATGCCTGGGCGCGCTCATGCGCGGGGAGCTGTGTTACCACGGAGACCATTTGATGCAACGTTGAAAGACGATCGAGCAGGCCACGAAGGACGGGCCTTGGCAGGTGGCCGAGCATTCGGATTCCCGCGACGACCTCGGAGTCGGACTCGCGCCGCAATCCGAGGTCCACGGCGCCGTCTCTCTGCTCCACATCCTGCAGGCGCGTCCAAGGCCAGAAAGGGCCAGGGCTAGGGGTCTGGCCGAGAGGGGGAGGTCAGCCCAGGACTCCTCCCTCTTGTCGGTCATCAGTTCCCCTCCCAGAGCGACCTCCCGAAGCAGGGCCCTTTCCTCGGGCGCGCGCAGCGCGCACCGCAGGAAGAAGCGCCGGAGGGCAGCTGCAGCGGGACGCAGCGGAGGAGGGCCTCAGCCGAAGGTGAAGGTGTCGGCCGCGGCGCCGCCCTCCCCCGCGAGGGCGCGCAGCCCGTCCGCTGCGGCCGCCGCGGGAAGCCCGGGGGCGACCGCGGCCGCCTCCGCCGCTCGCTTTCCGCCGAGGGCGCCGCCTGCAGCCCCGCCGGGCTCTCGCAGCCTAGGGCCCGATCGGCGCCCGGCGCCGCAGCCGCCGTCGTCGGCCGAGGGCGGCCGCCCTTCGTCGCCAGCCCGGCGATTGCACTTCGTGGGCGACGCGGCGCAACAGGGGGCGCCCGCACCCCCGCGGGGGCGGCCCTCGAATCAGGCGCGAAGAGCTCCAAGGGGAGAAGCAAACGCTCCAGGGGGGAGGTCACGGGGGAAGAAGTCCGAGAGCCGTGGCAATAGCCAAGGCAGGGGCTCGGCTCCGCCCCGCCGCTAGGCGACGTGCCCGACACCGAACTGCCAGTGCATGGCCAGAGTCCCTTCGTCGAGCTCGGCGCAAAGGACGGCCAGTCGAATTCATCATCTACTTTGGGGAGTTGGTTACTGTGGGTGCTTCGTCACGAGCTTCACGACACTCAATACCTACGTTGCTTTCTTCAGTGGGATGCGGCGGTCGATTGCCGGGGCACTGAGCGCGACCTTGCAGAGTCGGCTCCCGGCATCGTGGAGGCTGCTGCGTGCGTGGCAGAAGGTGGAGTTGCCCCAGCACGCGCTTCCGCCCCCCGAGGTGGCGCTGCTAGCTATGGCGGCCACTGCGCGCGGCTGTATTCGCAACTGCGTGGTAGCGGTGCTGGTCGTGGGTCGCGGTGCTGGGCGCCACAATCGCTTTTGACGAGGCGAGGATTCGTTTTGTCGTGTACCTCCCTGTGACGAGAACACGATTGTGATTCCATCCGCAGGAAAGCGCGTTCGTTGATAATCCCACAGTTGAACGCATGGCAGCCTTCCTCTTAGCTTCGCATCCGCCCGGCCAGCCCACCCTCGCCACCTCAGTCCGGAATTTTAGGGATGCTTTGAACAGCTCACCCGGTGTTTGGGCTGCCAGCGCTTCTGGTTCCGACCTTGCAGCTTGAGACGTTGAGGAGCTATTTGCTACCTCAGACGTTGTGGGAATATGCCACCGACCCTCGAGCGAGGGCGCTGGAGAGATACAGTGACTGCTCGCACTTACATCATACATTTAAAACGACCACAAGGTTTCCGCATATATGCAGTTACCAACAACGCAGTTGATCACATTGCAGTACTGGGTTCAGCTTGTAGGTTACGACGTGACGCAGAGTGCAGAATGAGCTTAAAACTCCAAGACGGTAAACCAGGTGGAGAGTCGTGGGAGAGTTCTTTAAGAGGGGGGCCCTTTCGGCGCGTCGAGCCGCACCAGCGCCTGAATCGCCAGGCCGCTGGTTGTCGCTCGGGGGTCCTGGGGATCCACCATCGGACCCAGGCATCCCAAGGGCTTGTGGGTGCTTTGGGGGCCCCTTGGGGGTTTCGCGTTCGGTCCTGGGGCAGGGCCGTCCAGGCTGGCTGGCGCTAGTAGGCGGAGGCCATGAGAGGGAGGTGTGACCAACGGGTCCCGACCTCCCTTCACCTCGGCCGTCGGGGCCGAAGCAGCTCCTGGTGGAGCGACGGCGGTGAAAGAGAGCGGGGGCAGGTCGAGACCAGAAACATAATATAATGTCCTTCGCCATGTGTTTCGCAGCCCCGTCCCAGTTCGCTCTCCCGTCATCGTTCCTGCCGTCTCGAAGCTAGTCTTGGGCTCCCACCCACGAACTCCTTCCGGAACATATCCTAGTAGTGGCAGGAGCCCAAGGGAGGGAGGTGGGACCAAAGGGTCCCGACCTCCCTTCACCTCGGCCCTCGGCGCCTGGCTCTGACGGTGGAAAAGAGCGGGGGCAGGTCGGGGCTCGAAGAGACCCTGTACGCCGCAAGGCGCCTCCAGGCCGTGTCATTTTTTTTTTCGGGGGGGGGCAGGGCGAAGCTCGATAGCAGCAGCGACCGCGGGCCGCTTCCCCGGAGCAGCCCTCTTCTAATTAGAACGACCGCCCGCTGCGGCCCCGAGAGGATCGAAGGAACGAGGGAGCGAGCATCGAGTGTCGACTCGCCGGCTTCGGGAGGGTCGATGCTCGATCCCCGATCCTCGTCGGCGCCGCTGCCTCCTCCTGGCCGCTCCCACCTCCCGCGCATCCCCGCCCGGCGACCAGGAAAAGAAGCCGCGAGCGGTGCAGCCGCGCCACCGTCAGGGGAGCTTCGACAGCATCTGCCACGCGATCGCGGAGAGCAGGGGCAACGCAGAGGGAGAAGGAGGAGGAGGAGGAGTAAGAGGAGGAGGAGGAGAAGGGGAGGAGGAGGAGGAGGAGGAGGAGGAGGAGGAGGAGGAAGAGGAGGAGGAAGGGGTGGGAACAGTCGAAGAACAAACTGCGGCATCAGCATGCATTTGTGGTGGTCCGCGCGGATTTCTTGGATCGGCACTGGGGCCCCCCTGGCGGCGCCTCCGGCGCCGCCTCCGGCGCTGCCCTTGGCGCGCTCCCCGCGCCAGTTTGTTCTTTTTCCTGATCGGCCCCCAGACTCCCGACGTCATGATTTCTTCATGACACGACCCCCAGAGGTCCGGACCCATTCCCCAGGACCGGTTTTTCTTCCCGAGTTGTTTTTTGACGGTCTCGAGGCCCGGAGAGGGCCCCCAGAGGCCGAAAATGTGGAAAAACCGCCGGTGGAGATTTTTGTCATGACTCGAGGGGCTCTGGGCCCAACCGGGGGGGGGGGGAAAGGCCTCCACCCCGAAACGCCCCCTGCGTCGCCGGCACGGGCCGTGCGGTTCGCCAACGGGGGCCCACCGCGCCGATCCATCGGCGATGCATCGCCGATCCATCGGTAGGTCGGGCGATGCGTCGCCGATCCACACAGGAGGAATGTTCGAAACCAGGCAAATCATGGTCTGGGACGGTTTTTCTAGTTTTTTTGCTCTCCGTACGCTTGACTCTGTTTGGTGACTTCTTTCTTTTTCGTCCATACTCCGTCTGGAGGGGGGATACGCCCGACCCAAATCCATCGACGATGTCCCCCCCCCCCCCCCACACGCCCCATCCCCCCCCCCTTCACCTGAGCTGGCCCTCCCCCCTCTGTCGAGAGTTCCTCACTGCCGCAAACTGGTGCTCTTGGCGCTGGCGCCGCTCCGGAAATGCCAGGGGTGCGAAGTCCTCGAATCTGTGATCCTCCTCCTCCTCCTCCTCCTCCTCCTCCTCCTCCTCCTCCTCCTCCTCCTCCTATCTTCCATTCGGCGACGGCGCCACTGCTGAACCACCGAGTGCCCTCGGCGCGCTGTCGAAATTTGCCGACGGGCCAGCGCCAGAATCGCTCGCGACAGCGACAACGCTCTTCTCGCATTGGGCCAAGATGGCGGTGATGTCGTCCACAAGGCTCCGCGAAACGAACTTGAGCGAACTACGAAAAAGTGGGAGCAACGCTCGCCTTCAGGAGAAGGCCACGCAGAAGTTCAGGAACACCCGCGAGGCCTTCCGCTTCATCGACGAGGACGCGGCCGCCGGCCGATTTTGGCGGCCCGAGGCCTCGTGCTCGGGGGGGGCCTCTCGATGCGGAGGCGCCTCGGCGGGCTCATCTGGGTGCCCGGCGAAGTACCTCTCGGCGGCGACCTCCCCGATCCCGCCCTCGCCGATGAACGATTCTGGCATGGGCGGCAGGGGAAGGGCTCGGAATTCGACGGACACGTGGCGAAACCCGAACCTTCCCTAGCCTCCCACTTGGTTGAAGATTGTCGATGGTTTGTGGGAGCAGGGTTCGGATGTCGCCACCTAGCTGTTGTCATAGGTGGATCGCTGTGGAGACCTCGTCAGAGAAGGGAAAGAGGTGCCGATGCAGCTATCCTTGCCACGTGTTCGCCTTGTTGGAATTCCCGGGAGGACCTCGTCGCCACGGCAGGATTCGCTTCGAAATTCTCGTTGGAACGCACCCAGGGAAAGGCCTCCAGGGAACAGTTGTAAGTTCATCGTTGGGTGTTCCTCAGTTCGGTGTTCGGTCGCACCCGTCCCAGCTAAAGATGGCGTTACTTTGCTGTTAGAGATATCACACAAAGGGGCCACAGTATGGGCTCCAATTTGTTTCCGTATTGGGGACCGCGGTGGCACCGCCAGGCTGGCGCGAAGAGGCCTTGTTCCATGTTGTTTTGGCTCAAGAGAAAAAGGCTGGAGGAGTGGAATGAAAGAGGAGCAGATTGGAGAGAAGGGTGAGCTGCGTGAAGCAGCAGGGGTATAGGGAGGAGGAGGGGGGAAGGGGAAGGGCAGGAGGAGGGGGGAGGGTTTTGTTTGCCCCGCACATGTCTTTGTAGCCGGGCGTCGACTGATCTTGGATTGGTCAAGCGCGCCGCAGGTCTGTGAGGCTCGTGGGGTAGGGGGGTGGCCAGCAAAGAAGGCGACCAGGAGGACGAGGGCAGGGGGCAGGGGTACCAGATTGAAACATATCCCTATCCCTATGTTTGACATCACCTCACCTCGATGCCGATCTTACGGATTCCATCAGTTTCTGAGGGCTTATCCCTAAGATTGTCCTTGCTTTTTGCTCGCCCATCTTAGGGATAGGGATATGTTCGAGGCTGGTTGCAGGGGTACGCATGCCGGGGCAGATGGCGTCGGAACAGTTTCCTTAGCGTCGTCGAGTTGGAGTGCCGTTCGCCGCGCCATTGGGTCAAGTTCGGCATTGGGCTTGCCGGCGTCGGTGCCTGTAGCGTTCCGCTGGTGCCAGGAGCGGGTGGCCGGCAAAAATATTCTTGCCAGCACCAGGTGGCGGTCACCGTGGATGTTCGCCAACCCTGTTATTTGAACATGTGGCCGGCAAACAAGTCGGGGGCCTTGTGGGGCACCGAGCGAGGGGGGGCGGCAACCCCTCCCCACTGGCACCGTGCGGGAACGGAAACGATGGCGACGTCCAGGTCTCGGTCCGTTCGGTTGCCTGGGGGTCCGCAGGAGGTCATCCAGGGCATCAGGAACTCGAGGGGGTACAGGGGCTCCGTGAATGCAAAGGGGGTACACGGGCTTGGGGAATTCAGGCCTACCGCATGCATCGTTTTGAGAATAAGATTTCTCAATTATCAGAATGAACTAGTAGGCATGGCAACAATCCAAAAGAAACAGCTTTTGTTACCAATGAGAAATGACGCAACCACCGCGGCTGAACACTTCCATACGTGACGCAATGCCGTGGAGTTGTTTACGTGCTTCAGGCGGTCCACGATCAGAAAAGTGAGTGGCACTTCGCATATTTCACTGGTACACGTCCCACGTCTTCCCTCCATCACGGCCCGCGCCTGGGCATCGGAATCTGAAGACCAACCCGCGCCTGGCAAACGTTGCTTGGCGACCGTTCGAATCTTGCCAGATACGCGGCGTCACCGCACTACCCCCCAAGGTATCGCTGGTCCGGGTGCGCCCCGAGGTCGGCGTCGGTGCCTCCGTCCTCCCGCGTGGCCTCCTCATCCTTCGCACCGGCTAGCAGCATTTGCCCTGTGTTCCCCATGGCTGCCCGACCGTTCGCACTTCGCGTCGCCGCTGACAAAACTCAGGAGGGGAAAAAGCACACCGACACAATGAATCGTCGATTCCCCAGAAAAGATGGGAACATATGGAAAGCGGGGGGGAAGACAAAAACCCAGAAACTATGGGGGGAAATCTGGGGAACCCGTTTCATCTGTGTATGCTTATCTGTGTGTCCCAGGGCCCCTCCAAAAACGCATCCGGTGCTGGTTCGGGCGGGAGCCCCAGAGGCCCGAGAGAGCACACGCGAGGGGGGAAGTCCTCGCCGCGAGCGTGGGCGCTTCTCCTGCCTCGGCGGCGCGCCGAGGGCGGCAGCGGGAGGGGGCGGGCCCTCTCGGCAGGCGGCTGGGCTTCGCGGAGGCCCTCGAGGCCCTCTGAGCAGCCGCCCGTGTGCCCGGAGGTTGCTCGGGTCACGGTGATCCAGCCGACTTTTGGCCTGGATCACCAGAGAGAATGGCGAGCCCCGAGAAGCACCGAAGCTCCAGGGCTTTCGCGCGTCGGCCCGGGGAGACACTCGTTCGACACTGTTTCGACACTGTTTCCGGGTGCTCGAGCTTACGTTTGGGACGTGGTCCTCACGTGCGATGGGAGCAACCTATAGTGCTTGGGCCCAGACAGCCTGTCGGGAGGCCAGGACGCCGAAGGCCTCCTGAGCTTCCTGCGGAGGCCCGTCCCGTCTGCCTCACCAAGAGCCTCGGGCGGGGCCTGGACGGGGAGGAATCCCTTCCAGAGCCCGGGATGACGGAAGCGGGCGCGTATTGGGCGCTGCGTAATGGGGGGGTCATAAATGGGGGGGTGGCGAGGGTGGTTCGAAAAGGTACCCAAACGGTACCTAAACGAGCCCCCTGGGGGTCCGGAGGGGCCCGAAAGGGGCACGAAAGGGGACCGTTTCTGACCCCCCCATTTATGACCCCCCCATGAAGCCACGCCGAAGCGTACAGAATGGGCGAAAAAGACAGACAGCAATTCCTGTCCATTCTGGCCAGGACTCGCTGTCGGCGTCGCCGCGGGCTGGGCCCATGTGACAGAGAAGGCCGCCTGCCCAACAGCGACCGCTGCCGGTTGGGGGCGGCATTTGCCTCTGGCCATTGTACCCGGGTTGTCCGTACCCGGGCGTCCAAAAAGCGCGCCCCAGAACGCTCTCGGAGCGCCCTCCCAGTCCCGGCCCCGTCCGCGTGGCAGCGGGCCCGCCCGTCGCCAGACGCCCTCGAGGGACAAAAATCACGACGGGCGTTTTTTTTGCACTGGTCGGCCTCTGGTGGCCCTTGCCGGGCCTCGGGGCCGTCAAGAAACGACTGACGACGAAAAGCCGGTGCCGGGGACTGGGCCCGGACCTCTGGGGGCCGCGCGATGAAAAAGGCATGACGTCGGGGGTCTGGGCAGAGGCAGGCCGCTCCCCATTTTTCAGCAGGTCGCTCGCCATATTTCGATTGATGACGCTCCCCATCTCTGACCACGCGGGGCCCCATTTTCGCTCGATGATCCATGCGACATTTCGCTCCCCATTTTCCATGAAAGGCCGGATGCTCCCCATCTTTGGATGAGATTCCATGGCGCCCCATCTTTCTGGGGCGCGGGGTCTCTGGGGGGGGGGTCTGGGCCGAGGCCCCGACGTCGTGGCCGTTCCGAGCCCGCGGCCCCCGCCGCGGGCGCCCGCTCCCCGAGGCCACCGCGCGGCCGCTGTCCTCGGCGGCGAGCCCGGGGAAGGGGGCGGGTGGGGAGCGATTCGGAGGGCGGGCCTGCCCGCAGGGCCGCGGCGCTCCTCGGCAGCCCTCTGGCCTTCTGAGAAGACGCCGCTCCGGTCTTCGCCGCAGCCTGCACGGAGGCGCGCCCTGGCTCGGAGAAGCCGCGCCGCCCTCCGAGAGGGCCGGCCCCCGATCGCGCTCCCCCGGGGCTCGCCGCCGCCGGGGGCCTGCATGGAGGCGGACCCCGCGGGCTCGACGCCGGCCCAGGGCGGCGTGGGCCGCGCCGGGAGGGCCGCATGGGGCCGTCCTCGGGCGTGGGCCGCCGCGGTGCGGCGGGCGCAGGGGGGGTCCGCGCGCCGGGCCTCCGGGCCGGCCTCTGGCTGGGGGCGCATGGCGGGGGCCGGGCCGGGGTGCGGAGCCGAGCCGCCGGGGTGCAGCGTGCCGAAGAGGGCCTCGCCCTCGAGGGTCGAAGGGAGTGCCACATCCCTTGGAGGAGGAGGAGGAGGAGGAGGAGGAGGAGGAGGAGGAGGAGGAGGAGGAGGAGGAGGAGGAGGAGGGGGAGGAGGGAGGAGGAGGAGGAGGAGGAGGAGGAGGAGGAGGAGGAGGAGGAGGAGGAGGAGGGGGAGGAGGATGTCCAAGGAGGGAGGTCGGCGGAGGGCGGCGGACGTGGAATCCGGCAGAGGCTCCGCGGAGGCCGGCGGAGGCAAAGGTCGACCCTCCCCAAGGGGTGATTTCCTCTTGGGGTTCGGGGTTTCCGGAATGGCCAAGTGCTCGTCGGCGACGTGGCGCGAGCCAGGATCCGATGCTCTCCGTCCAGACGTCGCTGGCGCATCGCCGGTGCACTGGCGGTGCGAAGCGGCCTTTCCGGCCCGTTGGCTCTGGCACCGTCTGGGCGGCCCAAGATTGCTGCGAGGCAGCGTGTGCACGCTCGGTGGCTTGACGTAACATTTCGCGCTTGACGTTTGTTCTGAGCATGTATATTGGAGGGGCTGGATTTCGTTGTCCAAATCCCGCAGGCCCATTCGGTGGCCGCCTCCCCGCGTGCTCAGCGTGCCCCAGCTAGGCTGCGGTCCTTATGATCTCCCTTCCCCAACAGTGTCCTTCTCCCACCGCGACTCTAAGCCGAAGAAAGGTCTCGAAGTCGACAATGAGGACCCTTTGACTCAGGAGGCCTTAACGAAGCCCCGAAGGTGATCCACGGAGAGGCCCTGATAGACGAAACTTGTCTTCACGCTCGCACAAATGTTTGCAATCTCCACTTGTCAGCTCCAGATGGCATGGAGCTGGGTCCCAGCGGCCTTCCAAGATGGCTCGAGGGCCTCCAGGGCGAGTCTCCGACGGGCCACGGCCGCCCCAGGATGGCCCCGACGCGCCCCCCGACGAGCCCCATGCGTGCCCTCCAGAGCGGCCCCCGGAGGCCCAGTCCGTCTCCAGCAGGGCCCCCCAGGGGGTCCCCGGGGCGACCCCGAGAGGGCCGCAGGCCAGCGCGGCCCCACCCCCTGATCTCGCGCCGCCGCCTCGCGCGAGAGAGACGGGGAGCACGCGTGCCACCTGCCACTCTTGCCCAGCGCCGCACGGCCAGGACCACGACGGGACGATCTCGAAGACGGAGATGCGGTACTTCTTCCGCGCCTACGACTTCGGCCCCGAGATCGCCGACTCCTTCTTCGAGTTCCTGGACCAGTACGACCAGGGCGAGATCCCGTACAACGACTTCGTCGCGTTCATGAGCCCCCACTTCAACGACGTCCGTCCCGGGTCCCCCACGCTGAACGTGGAGGCGCCTGTGTCCCTTTCTCTTGCCGCACCTCAGCCGTGTGCAGATCCGCCTCCTTCCCCGCGTGCACCGGCAACGGTCCCTTGGCGGGCCCGAGCTTGCGGACGCGAGTAGGGATAGAGAGGGAGGAAGGAGCAGAACGTCCCGTGGCCCGGTCTCGCGCCGCATCTCGGCCGGGCGCAGATCCGCCTCCCCTCCCTCCTCCTCCTCCGCGTGCACTGGCAGCGAAGGCCCCCCCGTGCGGGCCGCGGCAGCCGAGGCTGCCCGGCTCAACCCCGGACGCAATGAGGCGAGAGAGGGAGAGAGAGAGAGGGAGGGGGCGCGAGAAAGGAGAGGGAGAGAGAAAGAGAGGGAGCGAGAGAGAGAGAGAGAGAGGGAGAGAGAGAGAAGCAAGGGTAATGACCTCCTCGAAAGTTTGCCCGATGCGGTCAGCAGGAGGGCCATCCCCTCCTCACTGGGCCTCCCAGATGGGGTCGGAATAGATGGGGTCGGAGGATCGCGCCGCATCGCCGATGCATTGCCGATGCGGCTCGATGTGGGGCCCGATGTGCTTCACGTCGACGTCGCCGATGCATCGCCAGCATCGACGATGCGTCGCCAGTGCATCCCCGATGCATCGCCGATGCAGTCGCGATGCGGGCGCGATCCTCCGACCCCACCCACTCCGACCCCGTATGGGAGGCCTCTATCCTCCCCTTCTCCCAGACCCTCCGGCTGCTGCCCCTCTCGCTTCGGGGAGAGGCCCCGTGGCAAGCCGAGGTGTGAGCGTCTCTCAACGCACGTCACCACGAGCCGTAAGTCAGGCGTGCCCCTCCTACAGGAGGAATGCCCCAAAATTGTACACAATAGTCTGGGAACCCTTTTTTAAAATTAAGTTTTTCATTTTGTCTTCCAGCTTGATCATTTGTTGACAATATTTTGATTAGTTGTCATGCTTTTGATTTTTTATTGATTCATTTATTTATTGTTATTAGTATAATATTGTTATTACTACTATTATTATTAGCATTACTATTATTATTACTACTATTATTCACATGATTAGTATTAGGATTATGATTCGTATCATTATTATTGTTATTATTATTAATAATTGTATTATTATGTTTATTATTATTGGTTTTATTATTATTATTGTTGTTGTTGTTGTTGTTTTTATAATTATTCTCATTATCATTATTATTAGTATTATTATTGTTATTATTATTATTATTATTATTGGAG